TCGCACGGGTGACACACTAGTATATGTTAAAACAGTTATCTTTGCTCCAATAAAAGAGAGTGGAGGTAAAAAATATTTAGACGCATTTGACATAGTTGAATTGAGGAGAAACTTTTGAAAGACGATAATATGGGTTAATTACATAATTGGTCACTGAACTTTACGTAAGGTTTTCAAAAGGTCATCAAACTTCGAAAGTTTCCCCGTTAGTCACTGAACTTTACAAATGTAATCCCATCCATAACTAAGAACTTCAAAAGTTTTCACATTAGTCAAAAGAACTTTACAAAATGTAACAACATTCATCACTTCGTAATTAACGGGGAAACTTTTGAAGTTTAATGACCCCTTGGAAACCTTATACAAAGTTCAATGACCAATCAAGTAATTAATATTGGCCTATGATTGATTATAACCTTAATTTTTTATTATAACAAATAAGTTAATCTTATTTACTAACACGTTGAATTCAAGTAATTATAGTTTTTCAAAATATGGGATGGAAAATTGATCGCTGGTTGACAAAAGATCAACGGCTATCATAAAAAATTGGACTTAATGAAAGAAGTTAAGATCGAAATCACACAGTCAAGAATTTAAGAGCCAAACTTCAGAGCAAGATTGATGACTTAATTTCTTAGATAAAGTGTAAAGTTACTAACACTTTGATATTTGGTAATCAATGTTTAAACTCAAAATCCTGATATGCATTAAAAATAATTTTGTGCATTAAAAGTCATATTAAAAGGTAAAAATGAATTTTAAAAATGATAATTGGACTTGAAAAATATTTTTTTTATTTTGAAAAGTTAGTCAAAACTACTTTCAAAAAGTTCATGCCTTTCAAAACTTTCGAATCAGAACAAACAAGGCCAAAATGTAAAAAATACTGACCGATCAGATGAGGCGGTCGTTAGGCTAAAGAGGCGGTTGACCGAAAGTTTTCAACGATCCAAAATTTGATCGTTATGATCTCAAATTTTTACTGTACAAACAGATATATTGGTCATTCGGATAAGAGGCGATCGACTGGACGAGTCATCCGAACTCCCAGATCTTTTTTTACGTTTTGAACTCTATAAATACCTCTACTTCTTGAATTATATACAACATTTTTCAAGAGCATCAAAATGAGATATCTTATGAGAGATTTCTTCAAGCTTACATTTACATTCATTTCATTTATTTTTTTCATATAAAAACTTTGTTTGATTCAAACTCTTTAATCATCATCTTCATCAAATGTTTTCATCTCTCTTTTGTACTTACTTTATTTCTATTACTCATAAAAGAAAAACATACTTTGAAGAAGATCTTTGAACTAATATTGCATATATTTATTCTACTACTTCATATTGAAAATTTTGATTGATTGAAACAAACTTATAAAATCATCATATTCATCACAGTTTCTCATCTTTTTCTTGGTACTTAATTTATTA